TTGTGCTCAAGGGATTAAAGACAAGTGTTTAATATGTAAGATGTGAGAGAATTGGTTGAATTTCTGCCCCTAGTGTTGAGTTCAGAAACAGTCAGATAGGAACATCTAAGTCGGGTTGAAAAAGTTCACGATATTTCACGAAGTTCAACAAGGTAAAAGTTCGCGAGTCATCGTGAGTTTTGGTGAATATTTTCAACACTTCTTCTAAGGATTCCATGAAAAGGATATCTTCTCATATCATGGAGTAAATCGACTTGTTTGAAAATTAATATCGAGATGGTTGCAGTTTCTTTCGCTATTAATCATTAATTGAACTGATTACCTGGCGCTAACCGCGATTACAATTTGTGAATTTAGAAAAATGTGGTGCCTTCCCGTTTTTGGAAACACGCGATTTCTGTCTTTTTTGCATTCTATAAAATGTATCGTACGCTTTATTCAATTTGAGATTGTACTGGACACTCTTCATGGTATCTCTCCATGTGGTATTAAATGAAAAAATGTCCAGAAAGCAACTACCCAACTAACAATTTTGGCTGCAGACTAGCTGAAACAACCGAAAAATTACGTTATGCATCTAATTTTTGCCTGTATAGGCTGGTCTGCAGCTAGAACTGTTTGTTGGGTAATACCTATCTGAGTAAAGTAATAGCCGATGAGATCGTGTTGACAAAACCATGTAGACACTACAACTGGAATTTGTTTGAAAATTACTGGAAAATCAGGGAATATAAGGGAATTTCTTCATTGAGTCGACCCCCTGTATTATTATTATTAGAAGGCCTGTTGGTTCGACTTGAAAGCTATTTAGTGTTGACCCAATAAGGTCTCTAAAACTCGACACAGTAAGGTCACTAGAGTTGACTAGTGAGGCTATAGCGTTAGCGTTAGCGTTGTTATGATATACTTCGTAGATTGGATACTAACGACACTCACGTCTCTTCTGAAATTCTCAGTTAGACTACTTTCAGGAATAATGCTGGGGAGTAAACATTGGTTCCAATCTAAACAAGAGTAACAGAAGCATGACTGTCGCTATTCCCGGCCACGCCCATCTTTACCAGAACTAGGGATAGGGAAGGAAATGTTGATGTAGTACTTACTTAACGAGAGGCCACCGACTTAGCGACACCCTCATAAGTGCTACGGAGTTGGAGGGTTGGGTAGGGTATTCGGTTAGGATTCTCCTCAAGTTGGCGATGCAACCAAAATTATGTATTATTTATTTGTTGTTTATTTGATCTCTCGATAGCCGGCTATCGAAAGAACATATTCATTTTGTTTAGTGATCATGAATTTTAAGAGTCATGACGGAGAGCTTGGGATTAAACCCATGATTTTCTGCTCAGTAAGCAAAAACGATCCCTCCAGGGTCATCGAGCATCTCAGAACCATAACGCTTCGCGACAATACAGGACTACGTTTTCGCTTGATATGCAAATAGTTTCCGAGGTTAATGTTCAATATCAAATATACAAATGATGGTGGCGATTTATTGTGCTGTGGAAGAGCTTGGGGTTAAATCCATGATTTTCTGCTTAGTAAGCAAAATCGATCCCTCCAGGGTCATCAAGCATCTCATAATCCACAGCGCTTCGCGTCAAAGTACGAATATATGGATGAACGATCTATTTTGAATAACTATTATTTACGATGATTACATGAAAAAAAATAAAATAAAACGTGACTACAAAAAAAAAAAAAAAACTTTCAAATGTAATTACCAGTAAAATAAATATTAATTATTTTACGCAAAAACGAGCAAGTAATATTAAATCTCTTGTATCGTATGCTAATGCTATTTGACTGTAACAAAAATAATATGCTTAAATAAAATAAAATATTGATAAAATTAATTATATTATTATATGAGAAGTTTCTAATAAGCCCTCCCAGTTCCTCTGTATAAAGAACAAATCTGATACTATAATCAGAATTGCTCAGTCTGCATGAGACAGCCGATTTCATCAAGGAAGTTCTATTAACAACCAAGAATTAATCGTTTGAGGCATACTGAAGCATTAAGAAGGTGATATGTGTCACTATAGGAAATCATCATCGTTGCAAATATAAAGATATTAAACATAACCCTTTGCTTCAGTACCGTCAATTCAGCCTTAGCCTCAGCGTGCTCAACAAAAACTCTTCAGACCCACCATGATCACAGAAAAGGGAACTTTAAAGTACAAAAACATCACTGAAGACATCAAACGTCTAAAACCAGAAACAAAAGCACTTGGATGACTCTCTTGCCGTTCCTACTCGATATCAACGTGTGCAAATTGTGCGCTCGACAAATTACAGCATGAACGTAGCTCTTCGAAAAGATGTTCAATACAAAATTGTAAAAAACTGATAGATGGTATCGAAACAAGTAAACAAATAAACTGGAACGAACTCACCAAATAAACGATGGTTTGCACGTGAAGCCAATACTTGAAAGACTGTTGCAGCTCTTAGTTCTAGCTAAACATTTCATAACATTCCTTCGGATCTTCAAAGAAGCTCTTGCACCTGCTTCCAATAAGAATCATCGATTATGATAAACGAAAACACTTTGGAATGCATTTCCAACCGATCACTTTCACTTTCTTGCACTAAAATTAGAAAACGCCAAGAAAAAAAAAATCACTAGAGTCGACTAGTGAGGCTATAATTCCATAAAGTATTCGATGTTTACATAAAAGATCTCTGAAGGTTATCTAGATGGCCTCTGGATATAAGCCAATATTTTCCCTGAGTTTCTTCAAAGCTTAGATCCTAAGGAATTGTGAAGACTTATTTGAAATCAAATATTAAAACTCCGATTACCGGAACTCAAATTTTTTTTCAGAACTAGGAACTATTGAAAGATACTAAAAAAAGAAGTAAATACCTATCTTATTTACTTACTAATAGCAAATAGGTTTACCCTGAGCATCTCTAATAGTTCGTAGGACTAATGTGAATGATTTATATTCTGACGGTCTAGCATAGGCCTACGGCCAGGTTTCAGTAGGTACACACTCGCTTAACGGCAGATTGGTTTACAGTGGTCGACCAGGGTGTGTGCTGATAAATTACAAAATTACAATTACATAATTATATCATACATCAGCTAGAATTACGTTGATCGATATTACATTTTTTTTTTGCTGTGCACTACACCAGCCAGCAAAGTTCATCAATCCATCGTTGCTTATGCCTTTGTTGTCGTTTGGAACCAGTTTTGCGAAGTAGGCGACGATTGTGCGTATTTCTCGCGTAACTTTTGAAAAGAGCCTATTTATAGTCTGAAAAATACGTAAAGAGCAAATTGAAACATTGAACGTCGCGTGAAAGTGGAACTTAATGAAGGCCTAAGTACTTTTTCGTAGTTTTTAGTTTTCGGATTTGAGAGATCGTCGATTACAGTGGCCTGCTTACTGAGCAGAAAAACGCGGTCCCAGGTCCTTACATATCAAAGAAATTTATGGTAAAATCGCTTGTGTACCGTGAGTTTTGCGAAACTCGTTGTTGTCGTTGGTTCCGGGTTTGAATGGATACAAAAATTTGAGCAACGGTATTATGTGATATGAGGGGCTCGGTGGCCTTAGAGCAACCGTTTTTGCTTACTGAGCAGAACATCATGAGTCTAATCTCAGGCCCATCCACATTCAAGATTCGTCAATCGTTTTATTTGTTAATATGACTACATGGTAATAACAGCAACTCGGTGATTAAAAAGGTGCTCGTCTGCCTAGTGGCAAACGTTTTTGCTTACTGAGCAGAAGACCGTGGGTTTAGTCCCAAGCTCCTTCGCGTTATATGATCGTTAGGACATCAATTCAGCTTATCGTTTACCAAAACGAACCGTGCTGCAAACCCAACCCTCTTATCCAACATCCCAGTGATTCCTCGTGGAAGTGCAGAGGTGTTCTCGGCTTCCATCAAAGCGAGTGTCATGTCAACACAATCCTTCCCATTCCTTTCTTGACCTGTGTTCGGGCGCGGCCGGCGCTGGTATTTCCTAATTTAAGATCACCAGTTTTTACACATTGAGGATGATTGCTAGTCCCAAGCATCGTCTATTGGTTCTCTGTGTAATTACAGCTGATCTGGCAATAACAGAGTAGCAACCGTGGGCGGTCAATCAAGCTCAAGCTAATGTGAATGATTTATATTCTGGTTGACTGCTTGCATTCGTTTTGACCTGGGCCCAGGTAGAATCGATCTGCGATTTGTTGAGGTTCAACCGCCCTGAGCTCCCAATCGTATCCGCATTTTCGCAGGAGTCTGGTCTGAGTTCTTCTCCACTACTTTCACGAATTTCAGCTGATGTCATCTTCGGATGCCATCGACGATGGGGTTTTGAATATTGAATAACCATTTGTGACGTCAACAAGCACGAATTATAAACTGCAAACATTGAATAATGTAGACCTTCAGCAACTTTTCAATGTTCTTCGCTGATAAGCACTTACAGAGTTCACGTTGGAATTTAGAATTCATATTTCAGTGTGATGAAGAAAATATATAGGATAAGGTGGGGCAAGATGGGTCATGTGGAATTTATTTGTCAAAATCAAAAGGCTCAATGCAACCCCAATGATGGTTTGCTTTTTCAAACCACCATTGGGGCTACATTGAGCCTGTGGATGGTGATAATCAAAAACATAAATAAATTAAGTAGATGACCCATCTTGCCCCACCGTACCCTATGGTACCATGCATTCGGGCTATTTAGCTCTTATTCATCATTGCAAGTCGTCCTGATCAAGTCGGCGTCGGAGCTTCAATACCTGCCAGTAAAATAAGCCACCTTTATTACGCGTACAGATTGCCAATTTTAAAATAAAAAGAATGCCACCCGAAGGCAACTAGCTCCCGTAAAATTGATAATGGTTACCAATCAGGGACATCCCGTGAAGATATTTATCGTCGTCATAAAGCTTTCAACACCTCATCTATTGTACGCGAAGCCCTTATTCTTGGCAATGCATTTAATTGTTTTTCCTCGTATTTTTTTTTCTCGCTTCCAGAATCCAACTGATCTACATACCACAATCCTACGCGGGGCATGCACCACTCGGAAGGACATGGCAACACTGCCTCTGCCACTGATGACGGTTTCGAAAGGACGACTGTTTGAATCGATACAGAACACGACCTGTACCGCTCGCTACTGCTGCTGTTGCTGCAGCTCGTGCCAGCATCACCATTCCCGCAGTACCGTCTGCTAGCAGCCCAAACCAGGACCAGAAAAAGCCCAATCGCTCTCGCTGGTTGGTCGGTTGGTCGCACAAATAACTTGCCCTGCCAGTTTGGCAAAGTACCAAAAATATTAATATCACTAGCCACCAGAACGAATTTCTCGGCCGGTCGAGAGTGTCGTGGCCTCTCCTCCCGAACCCCGCCGCTTGGTGCAATTGTTCTGCGCCCATACGGAGGAGGAATTGCAACCGAAACCGAAGGAACAAAACCAAAAAGAGAACTCGCTCTCGCCCCCCTCGTGTCGTATCCCACGTGTGTACCTCCGGTGCATGTACATGTGTGTGGTCATACTGCTTCCACACTGCACCGCCGCCATAGACGTTAAGGAAAAAATCCTACCCCCACCGATAGCAGCAGCAGCAGCAGCATCCGTCGTCACCGCGATCCGGTTTTTGCGGTAGCGAATAATTTGGATCGAAATCAAATTTCAATCTAGGACACAGAGCCAGAAACAATACCTACAAACGATAAAAAAAACCAAAATCCTAAGGCGCGTACCTAGTACCAGAGATGACATCGACTCAAACGAATCGAGAATTTGTCGAAGGATGGACACTGGCCCAGACCCTCGGGGAAGGTGCCTACGGGGAGTAAGTATTATCTCTTGAGTTTGTTGGCAGCGAAGGGCAGCAAGGGGGGTGCGACGGAAAGCGCTTTAATCGTTTTATCACTACTCTCCGGTGGTGATGCGCGCTTTGCATGCATTGTTGCCGGTAGCTGCGAGGGGTGTTCCTTATCTCAGTGCAATTTAGTAACCTTCTTCGAAAACAAAGCCACTTTGTATTGTGCTGTAGATTAGAAGCAGGAATAGTCGTACCCAATTCCTCGAGTGGGACAACAACGTTTTTATTTTATTTTTTATTTTCTCATTGCATGTCAGTAGTGGTGCAAGATACCCAAATTATTTCACTAACTACTTTAAACTTATCACCATCACTATTGCTGCCTACTGATGATCATGTTCTTCGTTTTGGTGGAACATCTAGTGGGACCAATCCTCGCTTCGTTGTTTTGTAAAAGCTGCGAACGTTGTTGTTCCATTGCTTACAGATCAAAGTCCATGAACTCCTGGAATTCTCGAAAGCCAGCGAAATTGGAGTTGTATATGGTGTCAATCAATAGAAACTTATCGAAATTCTTCGAATAGGTAGACAGGAGTCATCCGGTAATTACGTAAGCATTTCTCGATTACTTTTTCGACGGGACGTATCAGCTTTTGTAAACAATGCTCCTCTCATAAGAAGCATCATTCAGTTGTGATGTTCCGTATTATTCGAAGAGCCATGGGATATCTGAGGTTACCTTAGGGAGCATGCATTAAGTACGTCACGCGAAATTTAGGGAAAATCAACCCCCTCCCCTTAACCTTTGGTCACGTTTTTCCTATACCTTGACACACATTTGTAACCCCTCATTCTCAACTTTATCGAAGCGTCCAGAATGAATAATTAAAAATATACATTTTGAATAGGCTTATTTAATGCACCACCAATGTAGAGTGCGCCAAGCGAGTTCGAGAGGAAATGTCATCCAAACCGTTTGTTTACTTCAGAATAAGGATTTTTCACAACGCAAATTAAAGCATTTTTTTTTATCAATTTCCATTTACGATTTTCCAACGATTTGAACTGATGTTCACCTAAACCACAGAGAACAGACGTTGAGGCTCGAACAAAATTTCTCTGAAAAGTAAAAACTAGTGTAAAGATTCCTATTCGACTTCAGCGCCAATAACGGCGACTTCCCCACTTAAAAACCCTCTTTGACAACCTGATGGCGCTGCACAACTTACACTAGACACCAAGTGCTGGTAGCGCCAAGTGGCAATTTTGATCAGAAAATTTATCGATACTAGCCGAGGGATGCGAGACATCTAAATCTCGATTTTAAATGGTCGAAAAATCTCACACTAGCGAATCAATCTACGAAAACAAAAACAAACCCGCATCGCTCTCCACCTTTTTGCAGGAAATCTTCAAATCATAATCAATCGTGTTTCTATCTATTAAGCGCGAGTGCATCTCACTACAGCAAAGCAATCCTGCATCTTAGATAGAGTCGCCCCTTCGATACTAGCACCAAATTGGTCGAAAGTGCAAAACTTACAGAGGAAATCAGGAGATACTAGCGCCACGTAACGGCGACGTTTCCACTTAACTTTACACAAGTTTCTGACCGAACTTGGACGTCTGTTCTCTGTGCCTAAACTATTCACACACAAGAAATCCGGAAGATCATAACCACTAAGGCACTTTTTTAAATTTTTCATTTTTCTCAACAACAATATTACTGAACACTAGCTGGATCGTTGAAAAAATGATTCAGAATTAAATTGTTCAACTGTAGATCAAGTTTTGGATCATCTCAGATGAATCAATTTATCAGGAAAAGTGAAAAAGTGTTCCGCTTCCTATGTCTCACGGCAACAATTACAGACGGTATAGTAAACACAGAACGAAAACCGATTTTAGTTGCACTTTGACGAGGAGCATGTGTATTTGGACTGTGGAGGAAAAATCAGAAAAGTTTCCGGGGCGATTCCCTGCTACAAAGATGTCCAGCAAATTTCTCATCTAAAACGCACTGATCGTAGTATGGAGGATGACGTTGATGATATTGAGAACATACATCCAAGACCACAAACCTCGACAGTATCAAGCATGCAGTATCAAGATATTGAATATTTCGACGAAATTTTCCTACACCCGGATGAACATGACGGCGAAAATAGTGCCGATTTTGTTTATTATTCTCAATCCGTTAATGATACAAGTATGCAATCAAATCTTCCGGAGAATCTTGAATGTAACCAATTTGTCTGGAACAGAACCCAGAGTCAACAGTGTCAAAAATAAAGTTCTGTGAGATCAAATAGTGATTATTTTGTGTGTTAGATCAATGTGAATCTATTGCGTACTTCGCATGATCGCATTTTAACTTATTAAAAAGTGTGATAAAAGTGCTCGTTTACATCTCATGTTATTGGTGTCTTCGGTGCGCTTATTTCTTGCATTATAAAGAATAAGTGCACTCAAGACACCAAGCAGATTAAACGTTTTTTTATCACTAAAAACATAATACAAACGGAAAACCATGTTCGGGATTACAATACTCTCCACACATTATTCGTTTGTCCGTTTGGCTCAACATTTTGACAGTTCGTTTGGCTCCGCTAGATTCGTATCCGCCGGTCTGTGTTTACTATACCGTCTGTAGGCAACAATGTCTGCTCACAATAGTCTTTTTGACGTTCTCCTATTCACCACCAGAGGCTGAATCGATCGCTTAGTTTCTATTAGAAAGGCGTGTAGCAGGTTAGTACAAGTTTAGTAAAAAAAAATTACTAAAGGATGACGCATTTTACATAAAAGAACATTTTCGAAAACACAAAGTCACGAAAATGGCACGCTTTGGAGTAATTAATTTTGTTCCGCAAGATTGCATTTCTGGACCACTGGCATTGTTTTACGATTTCACAACACAAATAACTAAAATTGGTTTGTTGCAAAAAATTGCAGATTCGGAGAAGACACGTTCACTTTCAGTTGAAGTCAGCTAGATTGTCTTGAAATCATAAAGTAACTAACATAAGAGATTTGAAATTAACCGCCTTGAAATCCCTTCACCTTCTTTTGATAACCTTTGCCGAAGACAGCAGCTTTCTAGAAGGCTATGATCCCAAGATGCAGTATGAACAAGCATTCTTTATGTACACTAGAGCGGCGCAATGGAATCAATCTGCTTAACAATAAAATTGCTGATGAAGATAACTTTCTCGATGGCAAAGATTTCGAGTTACAAGATGTACGGGAAGTTGAAATTTACAATGCTTAGCGTCACTTAGTGATGAGAGATAATGCCGTGCCCCATATGTTGGAACTCGTTGTACGCTCTAGCACCGAGTAGTGATGGATTTTTGAATTAAACTGCCCCCCATTCGGAACAACTTTTCCACGGAGAGTAAGCTCCATAGAGGTCCGCTGTATTCCCCGTACTTGCATGACTTCTATGCAGGTAGAATCGAAGACAGCATATCAAGGAGACTGAAGAAACAAGCGCAGTCTCATCATCAGGGTGTCCATCCAACCGGGAAATCCGGGAAGAAACCGGGAATTCGGATTTACCGGGAAAAATGCAGGAAAACCCAAATTGCACCGGGAAAAATCGTATATACTCATCACAAGTCACAATTTGATTTTATTTTAGTCTGGTAGGCCATAATTTGGCCTTGAAGAATCCTTTAAACCTTTAAACTTGTGATGTTACTTGAAATCAATCAACTTTCACATTCATCATTATATTCTCTTGCTTATAACTTTCATATTATTCTTTTCTCTCACTCGCAATCTGTTCGCGCCAGATCAAGCGGTGATTTTGTCGTTGTTCCTACTACGATAGCTAAATTTATAGAATTTCATATGGTGTCATTAGAATGCAAATGGTGTCATTGCTTGAATTCTTTTGCTACAGTTTTCCAAGTGAAGTAGTTCTAGTATAAAGGCTGAGCGAGACATATCCTGCTACTTCAAGATAGAGAAGCAGATTCATGCCATCTTAAACTCCTTACAAACTCCGATCATGCTTTGCACCGGACATAGAGATAAATTAAACATTAATTTCTGCACTTTTTGCTAACCAGATACCAAGATTAGGACATCTTTAAAATCCAAGGTTAGTCTGTAAAACATATAGATCTGAATCCATACCTCTCACTCCAAAATCATGGGATCAAATCTTACCCGGATGAAGCACAAATGATCCGAGAGTGTGACAATCACTATAAATAAAAAATACTTTCCTTGAATTTTTGCTAAGCATTCTCAAATCATCCTCTTGGAATCCTGTAAAGATTATTTTAAGATTATTTAAAACAATCATTGGAATTTCCTTGCATTTCTCTTGTCAATTCCAATCCCAAAATGAGAATAACATATTTTGACCTTACTACATATTACATACTGTATTCTTTAGGGTCAATAGTTAAGCGAAAAACAATATCTCAACAATGTGTGACTCTTTATCAAATCCAACGGTACGTATGGAAAGGTGAATAAATTTAGAAGTCATTTTTGACAGAAATGTTCCATTTTTTGTTTAAACTCGTTCAGAAAAGAGAGGTAAAGTGTGGGTTGTGCTTAGTAGGACGGAAATTAGATCAAAAACCCTACAATTTCATTGTCTATGATCTCAGATATCACAAATTTTCTGAGGTTTCGAAAAAAATAAACTCTAGTTCCGATATCTCTTCGTCATCTTGAAAGTGTTCCAAGCCTAATATGTTGAAACATGGTCTAGGAAACTTTCCAAGCGCTAGAGATTTTTTCAAAGACATGAATTTCGATAAATCTTTGAAAGCCGGAAGCATTAGTATCGGCAAACATCGGAAAATCATGTAGTAGAATCTTCTTTTTTTCTGAAGTTCTTTCCCAAGGCCATTAAATTGTATTTTCTACAGGTCCGGAATCAGCAAAGTTCCAATCCCAGATTTTAAATAAATAAAAATAAATCATGAAATACTTTCTATATTTTCGAAACATTAAATTTTTCACGGACTGTGAACTTACATTCTAACATATCGTAAGTTATTCTT